GGGAAAGGTGTATGGACATTCAGGGAGGGGCAGCATTGCAGGAAGGAGTAGATATGCACCCTACTTGAATGACAATCCTGACACTTGCAACAGTGTATCCTAATAAAAAATGTAAATTTTGTATTTAATTTAAAAAAATAATAATTTAAAAACAACAAACAAGCCACCTTTTTTTTAAATCTTCTGTTGTATCTCGGTGCGGACTGATCTTCATTCTCTTTGCAACCTTTTTCTATCTACATACATCCACTCCAGAGATGGCTGCATGGTATTCCTCAGGGTGGGTTTTCTGATGGTGGCAATTAGGGATGTTCCGATACCATTTTTTCAAGACCAAGTACTTTCCCTCGTGTACTCGCCGATACTAATTACAGATACTTTTTCTTCAAGGGACATGTGAAATGTTTTCTAAAACAATACAGACTAATGATTTTATGGCAGTTTCTTTATAATTATGAAGAAATGTAATTTGGTCCATGAGTATTCAGCAATGGAGAATGGCAACCAGCAGTAGATGAGTACAGATCCCATCAATCCATGATAATACAGCAATGGAGAATGGCAACCAGCAAGATCACATCAATCCATGATAATACAGCAATGGAGAATGGCAACCAGCAATAGATGACTACAGATCACATCAATCCATGATTATTCCGCCACAGAGAATGGCAATCAGCAATTATGGATTGCTGAGATTCGTTGTCCTCTACAGCCGGTTGCCATTCTCTTTTGCTGTATTATCATTGATTATACAGCAATGGAGAATGGCAACCGGCTATGGAGAACAAAAGATCCCTTCAATCCATAATTATACAGGGCTGCAATTGGGTCTCACCAGGGCTGTGTGTGGGTGCCAAGCTCTCCGGGCAGTTGCTGGGCTCTCCAGGGCTGTCCCTTACTGTGCCTGTCTCTGCAAGCGCCAGGAAGGAGGAGGCTGAGATGTGGAGCTGGACCGGCCCTGTCAAAGACAGCTACTTTAAAGTCCCCAGCAGTCTGCCTGAGGTCCCCAGCAAGTGTAGGATCTCAGGCAGCCGAACTTGTTGAAAAATTTAAAGGGCCAGTATCGGGGCATTTTCACAGTTGCAAGTACTCCTGAAAATGCCCTGTATCAGCACCGATACTAGTATCGGGACATCCCTAGTGACAGTAATAGACCATGCCTGCATAAGTAGTTAGAAAAGGCCACTTGTAGTCTGCAGGAGCAGGATTGGGAGGCAGGACAGAACATTGTTGACCTATATTAGCGAGTGCTTGAAAAAGAACTTTCAGGGCAGGTTAACCTTTTATTATTTTAATCAAAGCTGCAGTATTATAAATATTGAAAAATACTTTTAAAATGACAGTAACATTTTAAAAGCTTGTTCACACCAGGAGCGTTGAGCTGTGTTGATCTATCAACGCAGGCTCAACTTAAAAGGGAACTATGGGGTAATCTTTTTTTATCCCATAGTTCTCTTTAGGGTCACGGGAGGACATATACTAACGTCCTCCCGTGACCCAAAGCTCAATATATAGTGGGCTATTGCCCGTATATACTGAGACCACCGCAGCCGGGTCGGATCCAAACAATACTGTCGAAGTCCACACCGCTGGCTGATTGTCTATCTAGAGGCAGAGCCAGCTATGCCCCCTGCAGATCAGTGGTGAGCTGATATGCGGTATGTTTTCACTCCCTGATCAATGGAGCTGTAGTGTGACAGTTTCAATGTCACACGTCGGCTCTAAATATGGGGATGAGTGTAGTTCACTCACCTCATAGTTCATCTTTAAAGACATTGAGATAACTGACACCTGACAAGCAAGGTGTTGAAACTGATTTCCAGAAGGATATATTAAAACAGACAAGTCCTCTTCCTTCTGCTGTTGTACTTTCATGGATGAAGAGATGCTGTCACAGAGTTCACTTGCAGCTAATGAAATCTGGTGCTGCAACATCACCAGAAATCACAAAGACATTCTGCGGAACTGCTGCATTTCATAGGTCAGACTCCAACCATTCAAGAAAATGGATGGGGACCCTGCTGCTGTTTCTAACAGGGCTTTGAGAGTTGGGAAACCTTACATGTTACAATATCCAAGTAAAATGACCTGCAGAGAATGCTAAGTATACATTTTTGTATAAAATGGCAAATAGGTTTGATCTTAACCACTTGCCGTCCGCCCGTTGTAAAAAAACGGACGGACGGCACTGCTGCATTGGCGGGTTGCCGTCTCCAGAACAGGAAATGTTTTTATTATTATTAACCCTTACAGTGGGGCTACTCAATCACTGCAAGGGTTACTGCATGTTTGTGTCGAGGTTAAAAGAAAAAAAAAAGTTATACTCACCCAAAGCTTCAGGCCAGCTTCTTCTTAGACAGGTTGTTCCAGCCTCCCTCCCCTTCTTTTCTGTGGTCTAAGGTCCCATAAATCATCACAATTATACACAGTGTGTAGACATGAGGATGCTGAGGAAGATTCCAATGCTGCTGCAGAGTGGGAGAAAGGCTAAAACGAGTGTTGTGACAGCTGGCCGGCTCAGAGCTACGGGTGAGTTTAACTTTATTTTTGTCCCTAGACAAAAACGAGCACTTAACCCTTGCAGTGTGGGGGTAGCCCCAATGTAGGGTTTAATAAAATGTTTTACTGGAGTTCTTCTTTAAGTTGTTTGGTATTTGCAAACAAATGGCCAACTGCAGGCTTAAACCCAACTGAAATTTCAGTTTAAATCGGCTAAATACAATCCATGTGCTTCAAAACAAAAGCTGTGCAGAAGTCTTACTGGTTTTGTTTTACTTCAGAAAACAGAGCTAACCTGAGTAGAAAAGCCTGTCCTCTGCCTGCATGCTGTAGATGTAGAGAATGATCCTTGCTCTCTGTGGAAGCAGCAGTCTCTTTGGAGAAGTCCAACCCCCCCTTGCTGAGTCACAGCTGGGGCTCTCCAATCAACAAGGGGCATGAGTTTTGCTGGTTTGCAGTGCTATAGCTCAGACTCAGCAGGGTGTGTGCAAACCCTCTGCCGAGATACCATTGCTTCCACTTCTCTACAAGGATAGGTTCACAGCAAAATGCATGCGCCAGCGCATGTCTGGTACCATATGTTGTTGATGTGTGTTGCATTTGTGCATACTCTGCAATGCCTTCTTTATGTCAGTTGCATTTTTTTGAAGAGATGTATTACATTGCTTCTACAAAATGCAAGCTGCTTCGTTCCTTTTTTTACCTTGTCCTTGCGCTGCGACTGCATTGACGAACGTAGTCCAACACACGTAGCGTGAGCAAGCCCTAAGACTTTGTACACCTTCTTTATTTGATGTGTGTGGAATGTATTTTGCTGTGTAAAATGAAAGTTCAGTTGGGCTTTAATTGATAACTGCTAACATAGCATTGTACGTATATATGCCTTTTCAGGAGTCCCTGTGTCCACAGTGCAGCTGGGTATGGAATAGAGCTGCAGCTAACGATTATTTTCAAAATCGATTAGTTAGGCGATTATTACGTTCGATTAATCGGTTAATCGGATAAACTATAAAATAAAGTTTAAAAAATGGCTCCAGTGATAGGACTACTAGTTTGTATTGAGGTTGTAGTCCATCACAGGAGCAAGCTTGGAGCGGTGGAAGTAAAGAAAAAAAGATAGTGATGGTGTGCAATATAGTGAAATGGAAAGTGTAAAATTATACAGCAATCAATGCAGACTGGCACCGGCTATAGAGGACTACAAAACCCAGCAAAAGCACATTATACAGCACAATGCAGAATACCGCCAGCTATAGAGGAATACAACAAATCCCAGCAATAGTACATTATAGCTGGGATTTGTAGTCCTCTATAGCTGGTGGTATTTAGCATTGTACCACTTTATAATGTACTATTGCTGGGATTTGTTGTAATCTTCTACAGCTGGTGGTATTCTACATTGCGCTGTATAATGTATTATTGCTGGGACTTGTAGTCCTCTATACAGCGCAATGCAGAATATCACCAGCTATAGAGGAGTACAACAAATCCCAGCAATACATTATACATACAGCGTATGATGTATTGCTGGGATTTGTATTCCTATGTATAATATACAGCACAATGTACCATCAGCTATAGAGGAATACAAATCCCATCAATACATTATAGAGCACCATGTGTGGGAAAGTGCAGTCTTCCAGCAACGTGCTTCTGAGATCGGACCTGTCTATCAGCAGCTGTCATCCCCCCACACCTGCTCCTCCTTACTACATCTCCCCGCGTCCCTGTGCCGATTGTGGATGGGCAGGAAATGTGAGGCGGGGAGGAGGTGCGGCGTGTGGAGCGTGGATGCGAGCGGGTCTGGCAGCAGTGAGCGTGAGGTGGGGAGGAGGTGCGGCGCACAGCGTGTGGAGCTGTGAACAGGGTCAACTGATCGGAAGACGATTAATCGATTATTGAAAAAGTTGACAACTTTTTCAATAATCGATTATAATCGATTATGTTGATTAGTTGTTGCAGCCCTAGTATGGAACCAGAGTTCATCCTTCAGGCAGACAGTAGATCTCCATGCAGAATACAATGATGGATGCTCTTCTTGTGTTCCATCATAAAAATTCCCGTTGATGTCGCTAATGTTAAAGAAAAAAAAAACTGCACAGGCATCCAATGAAGACATAAAAAAAAAAAAATATCCCTGTTCTGTGCTCTAAACTTAAGTGTCAGCTAGTTTATCGGGTGCAAAACCTGTTGTGCATTTTGTGTGAAAGCTTTATATTTGCATTGGATAACACTCGGTTGTCTTTCTGTGTCTTACAGCAACAGTACCAGAGTGCTCTGTTTTGGGCAGACAAGGTAGCTTCACTATCGCATGGTAAGGACTTGTTACCTATCACCACAATAAAACCCTTTGCTGTGGTACAAAATGTTTTCTTTTGTCTAAGGTAATCTGCAAATTGTTGAATGTGCTTCATTTATGGCATGGGTAGGCAACCCCAGCACTTTAGCTTTTGTGGTACTATGAGGCCATGCAAGACTCCAACAACTACAGGCATGACTCCCAGAGGCAGTGGCAAGATGAGATTTATAATTTAGCCACAGCTACAGTGACAAGGTTGCCAACCCCTGATGGTTTGTTTTTTACCATTTGAATCCAAGTGCCTTTTTTTACCTCTGTCCACCCTTTAAAGCCCCATTTTTTTATTTCGAAGATGTCTCAGTTCTGCACTTCCTAATGTTTTGAGTTTGTTGTGGATAGTGCTTTAATTTGGTCACAAACTTGGATACATATATCATTTTATTCCATTGGTTTAATTAGCTAGAAATCGGGAATAGACCTTAATATAAAGATTAAAGGAGAACTATGAGGTGAGTGATTTTCACTCATCCTCATAGTTAGAGCCGACCTGTGACAAAGTAGCTGTCACACGTTGCCTCTATTGATTGGGAAGTGAGCAAAACCATACTGCCGATCCGCGGGGGGCGGGCATAGCTGGCTCTGCTTCTAGATAGGCAGAGCAGATCTCGACAGTATTTTTGGGGTCCGTCCCGACTGCGGGGATCTCAGTATATAGCGGGAATAGCCCGCTATATACTAAGTTGTGGATCATGGGAGGGTGTAGCTATATGTCCTCCCATGATCCCAAAGAGAACTATGGGATAAAAAGGTTACCCCATAGTTCTATTTTAAATTGAGCCTACATTGATAGATCAACACAGCTCAACGCTCCTGGTGTGAACCAGCTTTTAAAATCTTACTGTCATTTTAAAAGTAAGGTCGGCCCGCTCACTTTCTGATCATCTCCCTGCAGAGAGCAGGGATTCCCCCTGCAAAAAAAAAAGAACGCAACTGGGTGGATCCAGACAGTATTGTTGGGATCTGTCCCAGCTGCAGTGCTCTCAGTGCCCGCGGTATACTGAGCTTTGGGTCACGGGAGGATGCTAGTGTATGTCCTCCAGTGACCCTAAAGATAACTATGGAGAAAAACACTTACCCCATAGTTCTCTTTTAAGTTGGACTTCTCTTTTGCCAGTGGGGGGGTTGGATTACAAAAGCACTTTCACACTCCTTACCACTTTTGGGGACTTGGCCTACAGTAGCAATTCCACACTCCCCTCGACTTCAGTAAAATAACCAGAATTACTTGGGAAAAAAACCTATCCCCCCCTGTCATCAGATCATTCCCCAAGCTCTCACCTCTCCTCCACTACACATTGATCCTCCCATACTCAATTTTTACATAATTTGCCTGGACCCAGATAGCTGCCACAAAGCCTTCTTTCTAAAATGAAATCACATAAGTGTTATTTTAATTTAAAGTAACAATGGGGCTCAAAGGCAAAGTTCATGATTTAATTAAGTAGAACTTTCACTTTGTTTAGCATGACATCATTGCACACACAGGAAAACATAACTTGTTTGTGTAATTTGTAACTGTAATATTAAAATAATATTCCATTTGATTGCGCAGACAGAAATTAGCACAGAGGTGACATTTTTACAGGTTTGCAAGTTTAAAATTCCACCCTCTGTCCTATTTCATCTCGGCCCTATTTAAAGGGACCCTAAACTCTGGAGTTAAATCTTAAAAATACATTCAAGTACCTTAACTATTAACAGAAATGTACCTTATTTGTGTCACTCAGCTGTAGATCCTCAAATCATCTCTGAATTCATGCTGACACTGTCCTTCCTTCTGGAGTGTGGCTACTTTTGTACAGGCCTGAAGCAGTCATTTTTTTATTTTGGTATCACTCCAGTTTATTAGGAATCAAGTAATAGATGTACTTTTCCTGTGGTGCTTGTGATTATGCAAGTGTTCAATATTATGTATTATGATTATTATGATCTTTAGATGTAAAGGGCAGGTTTTTTCTTGTTTTTTAGAAGAGCCACAAGATGTTTATTGGTTGGCACAATGTCTGTATCTGACTGCTCAGTATCACAGAGCTTCACATGCATTACGGTCACGAAAATTGGATAAGGTAAGTGCTGACTACTTATTGTTTTAACTGTCACTAAGTTAATGGATTGGACAATGTGTCCCTCACAACTGGGAAACATATCTCAGCTGTACCTTCCCTTTGCCATGGCATACAGCAGCAATTATGAGACAACAGTCTAATTTCATGGCTTTAAAGAATTTTTTCTGAAAAAGTTTTTTTAAAAAAAAGATGTTTTTTTTTATTTCACAGATTTGTATTCGAACAAGTAAAAAAAACACAAAAGGGGGACAACACCCCCCAAAACAAGCAACACGCAGGTTGCAATAAGAAGGAAGAAACATACACGAACATCACACATACCAATCACACTAGGGCTGCAACTAATAATTATTTTCATAATCAATTAGTTGGCCGATGATTTTTTCGACTAATCGGATAAAACAATAAAATAAATACCATCCTTAATTTTAAATAAAAATACACAAATACAGTGTTACAAACATAAAGTTTACTTCTGGGAGAGAGCGATCTTGTCTCTATGAGTAAGCATATTTGGTGGAAAGGCTGTGGGATCGGTGTGGGATGATTTTGCTGTGTTCTTGGATGGTATAAACTTTCAATAAATCTGATTCTTTTATGAACTGCAGGATGTGCGGCTCTACATTGGAATTTCAGGATTTTGTTACGCCAGCACGATGTGACTGGTCGGGTCAGTGTTGTTCAACTTTGGGGATTGAGCGATGTATATTTTGAAATTCAATAAACTTTAAGCTGGCCATATACCTAATGTTTAAAACAAAAAAAAAACATGATTGCCCTATGCATGCTAAACAGTGTGGATGGGGCATCTCTCCCCTGCCAGTTATTGTATTCTGTCAGTGGTAGGTATGCCACTGTTTGAATACTTGAATAGTTACCACGGCTGATTGGCCGCAGCCACTGTTCGGCTGAGAATTTTTAGGCTTGCTCCTTCGAACAAAAGACATTTGGAAATCAACTTTTGTTGAAGGGTGCCGACATGGCCACACACAACTTACATTTTGGGAAAGCCAGCAGGATGAAATTTGAGCAGTGTATGGCCAGCTTTAGCCCTGGTTGTTGTAAAATAATCTAAACAAGACTTTTGGTTTTTAATTCCCTTAAAGAAGAACTATTGGGAGAGTAAAATAGTTTGAGCCGGCATGTGACACTGCAGGTGGCACACACCGGCTCTACAGCTCGAGAAGTGAGTGACCACATACCGCTGATCGCCCAGCTTCTCCCTACAGAGAGTCAGTGACTGTCTCTCACCGACCTCTGCAGGGATTCCCCTCTGTTCCTGCAGCACTTATTGGAGGGACAGACAGGATAGGGGGTGGGCACAACTGGTTCTGGCTCTAGAGAGGCAGGGTCAGCTGTCAATTAGGCAGTGGGATAATCCCGACAATATTGTCGGGATCTTTTCTGACTGCACTATATGCTAATTTTGGGTCACAGGAGTATATTAGTAAATGTGTTCTTGTAACCCAAAAGAGAACTAAACCAAAAAAAAAGGTATGGCTATAGTTCTCTTTTTAACATACCAGAGACAAATTGTTGAAGTATTATATTAAAAGTTTAATTTTATGTATGTGTATTTACTTTTCATTCTAGATGTATGAAGCATGCCGTTCTCTTGCAGCTCGATGCCATGTACGTATTACCTACCTCTTGCAGAATCAGTGTCTGTTTAACAGATAAACTACAATATTAACATAGTTTATGCAGAAAATATATTCACAAAATTTACAAAAATACAGTTCATTAGTAAAAGGAATAGTTCCTTAACTGAAATATTTTCAATGAGGCTTTGTCACCTATTGTTTTGCCCATCATTGTAAGTTCAAAGAGGCCACCCAGAGAGTATTCTAGAGGCTTAAAGGAGAACTATGAGGTGAGTGCTTTTCACTCACCTCATAGTTCTAGCCGACCTGCGACAATGAGACTGTCACAGGTCGGCTCAGTAGATCGGGAGGTGAGCGAACACATACAAGCGTTCGCTTACCTCTCGATCCTGTCACGGCTCTCTGCCATGACAGGGGGAGGGGCTGGATTCCCCGCTCCGATCTGCCAGCGCTGACTGGCGGAACGGACGGGGGAGGGGCGGGTACAGCTGGCTCTGCCTCTAGATAGGCAGAGCCAGCTGTCACTCACGCAGCTGGGCGGATCCCGACGTCCATGTCGGGATCCGCTCCAGCTGTTGCGTCTCAGTATACCGTGAGCTGTAGCTCGCGGTATACTGAGCTTAGGGTAACGGGAGGACGCTAGTTTGTGTCCTCCTGTTACCCTAAGGAGAACTATGGGGAAAAGCCATAACCCCATAGTTCTCCTTTTAATGGACAGCAAGTTATGTAGTTATTGCTTGTGAATGTCGATAAACAATTTGATTTTCCTATTTTCGTTCTCCATCTTATTATTGTACTGGGGGCCCTTAGAGGTGTATCTCTATGGCTAGCATATTGATTATGGTGGTTTTTTTTTTTGAGGAACCTACACAGCATGAAAACAATAAGACATACAAAAGCATTGCTTTTATTGGAACAGCATGCAAACTGGGCAGTGGTGGAAATGGTGCCTTAGAGTAAATTTGCACTTTTGCAGCCAAATTGGGATAACGCCTGTTTTATAATTGTAGCATGTTCTCATTCACACAACATAACTTAAAAATGCTCCTTACATATTACTTGTTTTTCTCTAAACTAAATTTTCCTCTGGAATGCAAGGCGGTGGGGAGGTTTCCATAATTAACCCTGTCAGTACTGTGCTGGCAGATCTCAATATCAGTTCTAAAATAGATTTGAACATTGGCCTAACAAACTTTTAAGATCTAGAAGCATAGTTTGTCCCCAGTCTTTCTATATGGACAGCTAGAGTTTCCTGTCACAAATATGTTTACAAATATGTTTTTAGGTATGGTGTGTGAATAGGAACACATAACAAACATATTGTGGGGTTTTCTCAATTTTATTTTTTTCAGTTTTGGATAGAGTGGAGAGGGGTTAGAACGCCTGTTAGGTTTTTATTGCCATTTACTCAGTTACTACTTTAAACATATCCCTCCCCAATCCAACTGAACACCGCCAAAGCTCAATGAGTGTGTCCGAGATTTTGAAGTGCTCATCATCACGCACAGATTTCTCAATCTTTGTGTTATGTGGTTGATCTGAGAAGAGCTCTTCAATCTGTCTGCTTAGTAAATCTAGTAATGGTGGACGTTATCAGCACTGCATACAATGGGCAGGTGGCTCCCTCATGTTTGATGATAGCTGGCAGTCATGCTGATCCAGGGGCTTCAGTACGTTCTCATTCATTGACCTGAACTAAGTATGTCGATTTAGGAGTTCTCCCTTAAAGGAGAACTAAGGGGTCAGGGCTTTTCCCCATATTTCTCCTAAGGGTCACGGGAGAACACAAACTAGTGTTCTCCCGTGACCAAAAGCTCAATATACCGCGAGCTGTATACTGAGACGCCGGGACAGATCCCGACAATACTGTCTGGATCCACCCAGCTGCGGTATTGACAGCTGGTTCTCCCTATCCAGAGGCAGAGCCAGCTGTGCCCGCCCCCTCCCCGGTCCGTTTCGCCAGTCAGCGCTGAAGGATCGGGAAGGGGGGGAATCCCTGCAGGAAGCCGTGAGTGACACACGGCTCTCTGCAGGGATAGATCGAGAAGTGAGCGAGTGACGGTATGTGTTCGCTCACTTCCCAATCTACTGAGCCGACCTGTGACCGTTTCATTGTCACAGGTCGGCTCAGATTATGAGGCTGAGTGAAAATCAATCGCCTCATAATACTCCTTTTTAACTTTGATTTTTCTAATCCGCATGCTTGTTCTTGGTCAGTGTCTCAAAAAGTATTGAAGTCTGAGATATTCAAGCAAGTAGCATTTTTAGAATGTGGTTAGCAATGGTAGTCTCTGTACAAGTTTGGATTAATGAAGATGTTCCAGATCAGCTAAGTTGTAATTTTTGTTGCTGACTTTTTTGTCACTACCAATATAATAGGCTTGCCATATCCAGATTTGAGGTGAGGAAATCTCTGAGGTCTGTGGGCTGTAATGAGAGAAGGGGTTTGTGGCGTCCATATGCCTGCTAATTATGTGTTTGAAATGAGCCACTAAACAGCTACAACATTAATATTGAATTCAGAGCTGCACAATGTAGACTGGCACTCTTTTGAGTGTGTTTCTGAAGGAATCTAGTAGCAAACATCTGATTCTTGGTGTATGAGAGGTAGACCCTTCACTGGTCATTACAGGGTGAGTAATGCTGTGGTTCATCAGCTGGGCATGGAAAAGCCCTCTAAATGGTGTACACCTTTTAAGGTGCCTGTAATGATTACTTGATTGCTTGGTTTGGGAAGCAGTTTGAAGCAAAGGATGTTTCAAAGAAACATGTTTTCTTTTGTTTATTTTCTTCTGGAACATCACAGCTGTTTTCATATCCATTATTAACGTGGTCTTTTTTACTTCTTTCTTTTCAAGTATGCAGCAAAAGAATACCAGCAGGCTCTTGATATCCTAGATATGGAAGAACCCATCAGTAAAAAGCTGTTCGATAAGGGTATAAAAGACGAAAAGATCTTAAAGGATAGTTCTGGAGAATGGCAAATGTCACAGTCCTCGGTAAAATCTGGCTTGATAAACCATTGGCACAGGCTGAAAAGATTGCATTAAAATGACTTTATTCACATGTGTTTCTCAAAAATAGGTGCTGCTTCCTTAACTCTATGTGGGGATATTAATCTGTGTAAAAGAGAGTGTAGACGTAATGAGTCTTAGTCTGACTCGCACTTATAACCTTTGTTTGGTATACCCATGAGAGAGTTAAAACAAATACCCTACATTCAGTGCATATACTGTAAAGGTTAAAGGTTCAAATTCAAGAAGAACTCCAGGCAGAAGAAAACTAAAATAGCAATACACCCTTGACATTTCCTTTGTAAAGTAGAAAAAGAAATTGAGAACAAAGAGTCCTCAATCTCTTTTTCTGCAGCCTCAGCACTGAATGAATGGAAAACACTCGGTACACTGGAGATAGTAAACACTTACTATCAACCAGTTATCAATGGGTAGAAGCCTCTGTAGTGAGCTGCTTCTACCCATTCAGAAACTCATGAATAAACATGAAGTGATGTAAAGCACTTTCTGTTCATTCATAACTGGGGACACATAGTACTATGTGTCCCCAGTTGTTTACAAATATTGGAGTGATCACTCCAGTGTTTGTGCTGCACACAGAGGATCGGTAAATATCACAGAGCTGCTTGGCCACACACAGATCATGGAGCCACTGGCCAAAGTGAAAGCGAGCGGCTCTGCTCTCCTCACCGCTCGGCCATCCTGATCAGCAGCTCCCTCCTCTGCCC